CTTGGCCAATATCCAAGGAGAAAATGCACAAAATATAAAATAAAATAAAATAATGCATGAGAAATATACATATCTCATTCAAATATCTTTGTTTTATGTTTTTTACCAGTAATATTATGTACATTCATTTTTTTGGTACAGTATATACATTTATTTTGAGCAATATATATACAAGGGTACTTGGCCCATTTGAGTTGGACCAAGAGAGAAAGCCCATGAAATGCCACTAAGAACGTGTATTAGAGTCGCAGATGAAGAATTTTGAGAAGTCGTCCTATCTAAATGCTGTCTTCCCCTCCTAGTCTGAGATATTTTTTCATGAAAGTCTTTTACTTCTTGGTTCACCCCGCAAATCTTTGGTTTCCTCTTGCGTGTAATACTGACCTCCTCTTATCTATTTCCCCTTGTAACTTCTACTTTATTTTCTCCACCTCCATTTATGAGCCATTTCATTAGAATTAAAGAAAACATTAAATCTTATTAATTCTATATTAAAATTTGACAAGTTTTCACTTCTACCTTATAATTAAAACAAAAATTTTATTTTTTTCTATCAATTAATAAGAATATAAAATTAAAGATGAATATAAAAAAAATAATAAACTGTTTTGTAAATAGTATTAAAATTAATTTATTTCTTTGTTCTATAAATAGGAACAGAGAAGTTTCTTCCATTCCTACATCTTATTCGGGTGCTGATGATAGTCCAATTTAGCATGGTAATCTTTCTGGTAGATACAAGATCGAAGATCTCAGCAACAACATTCTAACTTCCATTGGAAGGATTTTTGGAAACTGAAACTTCATAGAAATATATACCTCTTGTTTCCATGGAAGATGCTTTAATGATACTATTTCTTCATGTGACATTCTCTAGGATAATTATTGCTTCAATGTAGAATATTAAGCTACATGTCGTTCCAAGCACGTGGAATTTTCTACTTTCCGCACTAACTTTACCAATTTGATATTTTATTTGACCCAAAATAGAGTCATAAACACTTATCATCTTAACGATAAAAATTAGATCTAATGATTTAAGATGACTTCTCAGTACTCATGAGCACTGAAATTGGTTTCATGATCTTATAAAGTTTGCATTTTTAAGTTTTTCAATATAATGCGTGCACTTTACATGTTTAAATATATATCTTACTTTTGTACTGAACTTGCTTTGTGATTAATGAAATGTTTTTTTCCCCGAGGCCAAACAATAGATGCTTGTACCTCACCTTTAAACTTCACAACATCAACTTCGGAGCATCGGGATAGATGCTGACCCTCCACAACTTATTAATAAATGTCATAACCCAATATCTTTTATTCTTTTTCAGAAATGGAAGATGGGCATTTATTGTAATAAAGTCATTTGCTGCTCCATCTTTCTCTCTTTAGTTCATTCAAAATACTTCCCTCATTTTAAATTATAAAATATTTTTAAATAAAATTTTATATATCAATAAATTTTATTAAATACACTTAACAACCTTATTTTTTTAAATAAAAATATAAATTTTTAAAAATATTCATAATTTAATATATTAAAAAAAGGACATAAATTAATTATAGAGAAAGAGAAAGGGTAATATTAAAATTGAATTGAAATATTTAATGAAACTTTAATTTTACCCAAAGTGTCTTATATTTCGAAACGAAGAAACTTCTTCAAAAGTGTCCTATAATTTAAAACAGAGAAAGTACTAATTGCTTATTTTTAAACTTAAATTGGATTGAAGTTAAATTTCTCTCAATCAATAGTGTGTTTGGCTAATTTATTTCAGATATTTTTATTTAGGCTAAATTTATAAAACCCCTCTCAATTTTGAGATAGTTGTATATAACTCCCTTCACTTTTAAAAGTTTAAAATTAACCCTCTAATCTTTAATTTTATTTTGCAAAATCCCTTATTGTTAATTATGTTATTTTTTATGAGGGTTGAAATGTCATTCAACTAAAAAATATTATTAAATAAAAATATTATATTGTATAACTATTTATAATAAATTTCTTATGTTTTTTGAATAGTTGAGGCATTGATAATAGTCAAAACAAATGTTATTATCACCATATAAAACTTTAAATATTTATTTTTGCGTTAGTTTTTTATATTTTTTTTGGTTATCAATGGTGCATTGTTTTCTAGTATTAAAAGATAAATTAACCTAACATGATAATATTTAAAATTTTAAATATTTTGACCATGCGCATTACATTAATCTAACATGAAAATATAAATATAAATTTATTTTTTAAAACAATAAAATCATGCAACATTAATAACAAAAAAATATGGATAAAACTAATATAAACATAAATATTAAAAATTTTATACAGTGATAATAACATTTTTTTTTGCTATCAATGCCTCAACTATCCAAAAAATTTAAAAAATTTATTATAAATAATTATACAATATAATATTTTTATTTAATAATATTTTTTTTGAATGATATTTTAATCCTTATGAAAAATTACATAATTAATAATAAAAGGTTTTGAAAAATAAAATTAAAAGTTAGGAGGGTTAATTTTAAATTTTTAAAAGTGAGGGGGTTTATATACAATTATTTTAAAATTTAAAAAGTTTTTATATATTTTAACCTTTTATTTATTTTCATTTTTTAAATGTTTATTATAATTTTGGAATGTTTAACCAAATTGATTATAATTAATAAAGATAGTAATTCATGTAATAATAAAAATAATTTTTAATGTGATAGATATAAAAAAATTATCTTTAAAAAAATATAAATATTTTTGAATAAAATATTTATTATTGATTATCATCATCCATGACATTGACAGTTCTCAGATGACAAAGTAATTAAGTTCTGTGCGAGAGGAAAACCATCCATCATTTCAACCGCCTATCACGCAAGATACGCCAAAATTTCATGCTGCCACTGATTGATCAGTTAATTTCAGTCCAAAAGCTTACAAATAAGTAATTACGATCTTTTCAAACTGTCCAATTCATACAGCTACACAACAATTCGAAAAAAGACATAACAGTGAATTTCACCAACTGTTCAATGCTTTTTGTATATAAAATATTTTTAATTACATTATGCGAGATATAAAAATTAATTATTTAATTAAAAATATAATAACATTTTAATTTTGTTTTTAATATTATAAATAAAAAATTTAAAATAAATTAATGAGAATATTTATTTTTTTCTTTTCAATCTAATAATGATATAATTATCCATTCATTAACAAATATATTAATAATCTTTTATATTTAAAAATAAAAAATATTTTAAAATACTATTTATATATAAAAATGGAGGTAATAATATATCTTGTCAATTATGTCCATGGGAAACAATCCTGTCACCGTACGCAAAGGATCTTGGCTTTAACCTTCAGTTGCACGAGGCAGGAGCTACTGAGTATTTCGTGATATATAAGATTAATTAAGGAAGACAAATCTAATCAAATTGGATGAACTTTGACGCAAAAATAAATCTAATATATACCTAATTTTTAAAAGTTTAATATGATAAAGAAAAGAAAGGAAGGAAGAAAACAAGAAGGGGAAAAAAAGAAAGGGGAAAGGATAAAAAAGAAAAAAAATTAAAAAAAAAATCATTGCGGACTTGAGATCTTTAGGATTCAAAATAAGTACAAGTCCAGATAAATTAAAAAGAAAAAAATCAATGAAGAAAATAAAAAAATAATTCAACGAATTTTAGAATATATGAAAAAAGTTCCCACTTAATTATTTAAAGAATGAACTGAAGATGTATAAAATTAAAACAAATCATATCAAATTGGTTTAAATTATTTTAATAAAAATAAACCTAATATACTTCTAATTCTCTCCAAGTGACATACTTTTCCATATATTTTGGGTCAAAGAAAAGAACTGTACATAGTTGATGACAAAGATGGAAGGTAATAAGTTCCACGCGTTTACTTCGTCCCACAGCTTAAGGCCAGGGGTGTTTACTATCCCGCCCCAACAAATACTCGAGATTGAATTTTTGTTCTAGGTCCCATTTCAGTCTCAAAAGTCATTCCAGTCTGTTTTGCAGGTTGCAAAAATGGCTAATTTGATAGAATTTTGACTTCATTCAAAATCTGATTTTTTTTAATGAAAAGGATTGAATCAGACAATTCATAATTTAGTCCGGTCTTAATATAACCCAAAATTAAATAGAATTGGACCGGTTTAATATGATTAAGAGATTGATCCTGGTCTTGTTCAGTATCTTACTTTTTATTTTGTCATCTATGAAAGGCAATTTATTTTAACATAATAAAATTATTCATAATCATATAAAATTATCACAACAACAACAATTATAAATCTACAACAATTTCCAACAACAACAAAAAGTATTTCGATTATAACACAAAAGATTCAAATTAAACAACCTTTAATATGTCTAAAGCCTATTACATCAAATTAATAACAAATTTTATCAATAAGAGAAGAAGACTTTATCAATGCTAAAATTTTATTTAATATTCATGATTTCATAAGTATAAAACAAAAAAAATTATTAATTATTATTATAAATTTATTTAATATAATCATAATTAATTATAATTAATTAATTATGATTATATTAAATAAATTTATAAAATAAAATTGAATCGAGTGATTCAAATGCTTAGTTTTTTATTTAATACAATTCAAAAAAAATTTGATCTTTTTAATTTTAAAAGAATTCAAATCGAATGAAAACAAATCATAGGTTGAATCAGATCTGACAAAATCAAAAATTTTTACACAAACCTGCTGTTATAAATGGGGACGGGATGGGACTACATCGTTTGTCTTTATCATTTCAGTCCCATTAATTCCCCTTCGTAATGCTGAAATTGACCCAGGTCATGCCTCAAACTTAATAATAAACAAGGCATTTATTGGAATAAAACGAATAGAAACGTCTAGCCCAAAAAAAAAAAAAAAACCCATCCAATACATACCCTATATACCTTCCTCCATTTACTTTGAAGCTCGTCTCCACCAACCAGTCTGGTCTGATTGCAAACTGCAATAATGTCAGCCATTTCTCTGGTTCTGCTTTCGTTCCTTTATCATCTGGTCTTCCTCACCGCTCAGCCTCCTAACTTCAAATATTACAGATGTTTCGGTATCAAGGGCAACTACACAAATACAAGCACGTACCAAACCAACCTTAATATCCTTCTCTCGGATCTCGCTTCCAACGCTCAAATTGACTATGGCTTCTACAATCGCTCTCGCGGCAAAAACCCAGATAGAGTTAGAACAATTGGGTTATGCAGAGGAGATGTTAAGCCAATTGAATGCCAGGGTTGCCTCAAGAATGCCTCGCTTCGTCTCCCACAGGTTTGTCCGAATCAGAAGGAGGCCGTAGGAGGCTATGACGACTGCATGCTACGATACTCCAACCAATCAATATATGGGGTCATGGAATCTAACTTTTGGGTGCCTCTGTGGAACGTGAATAACGCAACAGACCAAGATAAGTTCGATCAAGTGGTTAATGAGTTGTTGGACCGACTGAGAATGAAAGCTGCGAATGGAGATTCACTTCTTAAGTACGCAGCAGCGAATGAATCGGGCCCGAGCTTCCAAACAGTGTACGGGGCAGTTCAGTGCACTCCTGATTTGTCTCAGCAAGATTGCGTCGACTGCTTAGTGGAGGCTATCTCGCACATTCCAGATTGTTGTTCGACCAAGAGAGGCGGCAGGGTTATCATGCCCAGCTGCAATATTAGGTATGAGAATTACCGTTTCTTTGTTCCCGTGGCTCAGGATTCACCACCATCACCGTCACCGTCTCCTCGTTATTCTCCTCCAACATTAATATCTAAAGGTACTAATCTTGAATTTGGGCTTTGTGGGTGGTTTAGATTTACTCACTCAATGAGTATCCAGTATCACAATTATAATTATTAAATTTTATCAAAAATTATTAAGATATATTTTTTATTTTTTAAAAAATTTAAAACAATCCTCACGAGATCAAAAAGTCCTCATATATGTTGTCCTTGCAAAAAAATTTGAGATCAATATCTTCTGAATATTATATGACAAAATTTGTTACAGGCATTTGATTAAGTCGATTGGATAGTTGTTATCATACATATAAATACTTATTGAATGAGTGGATTTAGGTTACTCATTAGATTCAAATTTTCTATTTAATCCTCAAAGTCAAAGGAAAGAAGTCCTATCAAAGAATTGTTACATATAATCCATGAAGAATATTGACAAACTTTTACAATCAAGGGCTTCAAACTTCGTTATTGGGGCAAAAATTCTTTTTCTTGGTCTTAATTTGAGTTTAGGCTTTTGGCATGTAATGATATGATTCGTGATGTTTTACGATGCGATTTCACCCACTTACGAATCCAAGAGAGGGCATGTGTAGGGGCCGTTGATCCCTTACTTGAAACCCTCCTTTATAAATAGAAAAAAATTTTATTTGCAAAACATGTTGAAATCAATGCCCTCAATTTTAAATAATTTTACACTTTGGCCTCCCCACCTGATCATTTTTGGCTTCATCCCTAATTTCACCCGTCTTCTTCACATAACTTCTTGCTGTATATTTATTTCCATATTATTTGACAAATATGCATTGATTTTGTTAAGTTATTCAAATGTGAATGGACTACTTAAGTTGACATAGGGAGTCTGGTACAGAATAAAATTAAACTTAATGACTAATATATAATAATGGATAATAACTTATAAACTTGAACTTTAAAATTTTAAATTAAGATATCTTTGTTACTCTTACAATTCCAATGCAGAAAAAGAATATTTCAAGGACATGAATTAACTTGAGGAAATGGTTTTGTTTTAGGAAAATGGTTTTGAAGCCAAGACTACTGTGGCTAGGTCTGTAATTGAATGTAGCAAGCGTAGTAAAAGTTTTTTTTTTTGGCCTGACGTAGTCAAAACTACGTCAGGCCAAAAAAAAAAACTTTGACTAAGTCGGATTCTGTTAGCTCTCTACCCAAAATATTTTAAATTCCAGACTTTAATTTGTGCCTTTTATTAGGACCAATATTTTTTCCTTACTTTCTTGATTTCTTCGTGCAATAAATTTCATGTGCAGTTTCCCTAAGGAAAATAATAATAATAATAATAACGTACCTGCAGGCTACTATATATATTTGGCAGAAAGTTCCAAAGTTTCAGAAGTTTTATTTAATTTGCGGTGGTTTTCCTCTATTTTGTCAAGGAACTAGAAGGATTTTTCCATATATATACACGAATTATGAAACGCTCGACTTATCATAGATTTTGTATTTTATTTTTGATTGGATATCTAAATCAGAAAGAATGTTTGACTTGTCATAGATTTTGTATTTTATTTTTGATTGGATATCTAAATCAGAAAGAATGTTTGGCTTTCGCAGGGAAAAGTAGCAAATCAAAATCTTTCATTGTCATAGTTGTGCCGCCGATTATTGTTGTAGCCATCTTACTGCTCAGCTCCGTCTTCATTTATTTCCGAAACAGGAAACCCAAAGAAACAAGTCAAAGTAAGTCAAATTAAAGATTTCCTCAGCAATTCTTGCGAATATATATATACCATTTCAAACGAGAGAGAATATTTTAATGACTTGTTTTACTTATTCCTTCGCGTAGTCGATGAAGCTGATCAAATTGATGATGAAATTAAACCTACTGAGTCATTGCAATTAGACTTTGACACCATCAGACTTGCAACTGATAATTTTTCAGATGTAAACAAACTTGGGCAAGGTGGATTTGGACCAGTCTACAAGGTAGAATAGTAACAATGTGAGGATGAGATTTTATCACTTCGTAGAAAATCATGCATACCAAGACATGTAGCTTCCAACTTATTTGATAATTTACAGGGCAAGCTCTATAATGGAGAAGAAGTTGCGGTCAAAAGGTTATCAATGAATTCTGGCCAAGGAGATATAGAATTCAAGAATGAAGTAATGTTGGTGGCCAAGCTTCAGCATCGCAATTTAGTGAGACTACTTGGTTTCTGTTTGGAAAGAAGAGAAAGGCTGCTCGTCTATGAATTTCTTCCCAATAAAAGTCTTGACTATTTATTATTTGGTAAGTCATGCCTGCTTTGGCCTACTTAGTTTGTGTTCTATATCTGTCTCACTGGAATTAAAATTCCATTAACTTTTAAAGTGTGAAGTATATATTTTCATACTTTGTCTTGAAATTAATTTTTTTCAATAAAAAAACAGAAGGCAGTAAAGATCAAATCTGCAGCACTCACTTATTCATACATGATAGTATGTTAATTTTTATTTCATTGCAACATCTTCACAATATGAATCTAAACATTGTTTGTGACTGTGAGATTTTAGATCCAGCTCAACGTGCTCAATTGGATTGGGAGATTCGTTACAAGATCATAGTGGGTATTGCTCGTGGTCTTCTATATCTTCATGAGGATTCTCGATTACGAATTATTCATCGAGATATCAAAACAAATAATATTCTTTTAGATGAAGAGTTAAATCCTAAGATATCAGACTTTGGCATGGCAAGATTATTTGTTATAGACCAAACGCAAAGTAATACTAGTAAAATTGTTGGAACCCAGTAAGTATCACAAGTCTCAACTTCTCAGACATTAATTAAAGAAACAAATTTCAAGATCATTAAGATAGAATAACACTTACTCAAGCTTATTTATAATTGGCATGCAGTGGGTACATAGCTCCAGAGTATTTAATTCATGGACAATTCTCCATGAAATCTGATGTCTTTAGCTTTGGTGTCCTAGTCTTAGAAATTATAAGTGGGAAGAAAAACAGTGCCACCTTTCATGGAGAGAATTCAAGTGATGATCTAATAAGCTTTGTAAGTCTCTACCTTTTGCAATGTATAAACATGAAATTGCACTATTGTGAAATAATATTGAATACTCATGTTGATGACGATATATATTCTTGTATTGTAGGCGTGGAAAACTTGGAGGGAAAGGGCAGCTTCAAATATAATAGATCCTGTATTGAGCAATGGTTCAAGAAATGAGATATTGAGATGCATCCACATCGGGTTACTATGTGTTCAAGAAAATGTAGCTGATAGGCCAACAATGGCTTTAGTTTCACTTATGCTGAGCAGCCACTCCCTGTCTCTACCATTACCATCGCAACCTCCATTTTTACCGAAAAGCAAAAGCTTATCAGAGATGAACTCAAGGGAATATAGTTCATCTGGGGCTACAAGATCAAGTGAAAGAAGAAGCAGTAACTCTGCTACAGCTTCAAAAAATGAAGTCTCAATTACTGAGCTTTATCCTCGCTAAATCTGGCCTTGCAGGTGACGTTCAATGTATCGATTCCAATTTGCAGATTACCCTTCCAAATAAACATGATAGCTTACTTTTACCAAAAAAAAAAACAAAAAGCAAAAGAAAAAGAAAGCTTGCTATTTACTTGGAAATAAACAGACTCCAAATATTGATGCTGATTTTTTCCCACATAAACTTGTGAAGTGTTTAATCTGATAATATTTCGAAGGTTCGATTAAGTAAATAGGTTTCTATACATATAGTATGACAGATATCAAGTTTCTCAACATTTCTACAATTTCCGATCTACTGATCCATACTTGTCCAATATCGATCCAAGGAGAAAATGCACAAAAAATTAAAGTAAAATAAAAATATCATTAATATTAATATATATATTCATGAGCTTACCATTTATGCATGACACGTTCAACACGGATGTCATGGTTTTAAGTTAAAAGTAACAAGTAGACTTAGTTCTAGGACTTGTATTATATGCAAAATTAAGACTTATAACTACATTAGATAAAATTAGATTTAATAAATAATACAAAATAAAATGAATGGATTTATAAACTAGAATTTTAATATTTTAAGATATGATATAAGTCATTTTTCATCATAGGCTTTGTTCCTTGTTATGTACATCCTGTTTTCATTGAATTCCTAATTCTCATCATGTTATGTCCATCCTTGTTATGTATATGCTGTCATGATACAATCGCTTTCCAATCCCTTTTTCATACTTGACCGCAAAGCTCCCTCTCAAAAGAACCATGAGGGCAAAACTAAACAGGGAAAAACAATCGTATCCCACAATAGCCCGCATCAGGTTTACAAACTCTTAATACCAACACACACCCTATATATGATGAAATTCCAATTATAGCAGCCATAAATTATCTAAATTGTAATCACTACCATTTTGGGCATCCTTGCATCCAACAATGAGCAAAAATACAATATTTCTGGGATATGCAAAGTCACGACGACGAAAAAAAAAAAAAACAAAACAGAGAGAGAGAGAGCATGTATAGCTTGTAAGTCTCTGACAACATTAGTATGTCCAAGCATGCTATAGTTGCACATTATTGCTGGTAATTACAGAAATAGCGTTGAAGAGAGAGGCTCGGATATAAAACCATGTGCGCGCGCAAAGTTTTTTGGGTTGCCTCAAAAAAGAAAAAAAAAAATATATATATATATATATATAAATAAAGGAGAGGCCACTGCTGCCACGGAGTTTTCATTTAACTTCATTGAAAACATGTCTTTGCTGAGAAGCACTCGTCTTCTGCAATTTATCCAAACCACCACTCGTATCAAATGTTTCATTCCCGTGTTCATCCACAGTAAAAGGAGCAAGCTTAGCCAAAGTAACACCAGAGGAAAATGGATGGCCTGGATTACTACAAAGAACACTGGGTTACCTAAAAGAAAGTATGCAAGAAAAATGATAGACCCTCTCATCTAAAATCAGAATTAAAACAAGTTGAACCCCATAAGTACAGTTATTCACTCAACAAAAGAATTCAAGTGTAATTATCAACTAACTGACTGCGTCTTCATATCTGCTACGGACATTGCTAAATTTCCAATAATAGTAACAATTATAATTATCAATTATGAAGGTGCCCAGTTCTATGTTTCGTGGAATTAATTCTTTAGCTGCGAATATGCTAAAGAGACCGTACACAAGCACCATACGAACATACAGGAGATTTCCACTTTTCTTATAACATTAATAGAAGGCCCTTTTTTGGATATTCTGTTTGATCCACTAGCTACTTCATACCTTAATGATCACCACAGGGTTATGGTACACTGCTATTGGAGGAGGCAAAACAAATTGCTCGCAGGGAACTTAGATCAACAAAAATTGCTGTGATTTTGGGGGTCGGCACTCGCCGTTATTACAGGAAACATGGGCATGAGCTTGAAGGGCCCTACATGGTGAAATATCTATATTGATAATTACTTCTGATGGAATTTTGCTAAATGTTTTCTGTGTAGATATAATACCAGCGTAATATGAACGATGTTGTATATCTTGAGTAGTCACAAGTTTGTTAAAATATCCTTCATTCACCTCCCTATATATTATTTTTTTCCTACAAGAATCAAAGTTCATACTTCAGAGTAATTGACTAACTTATGGATAATTATTATGCGAATAAAAAAATTTCAATTTACGGACCAGTTTCTACTCAAGCTTACGAAATCCAAGTATTTTCATACCCTTATTAAGGACTTTAGGATTTGTTGCACTTCTTTAAGCCTATATCCATGTAACGTATGCTGTGCCTGTGTTTTTCTATAAAAGCCAACATTCTATATACCTCTAATAATTTTCTTTTTTCTCCAAAATATCTACCTCGCAGCTGCAACCATCTCTTTGGTAGAAAGTTAAATCAATGTGTATACAGACATTAAATAGGCACCTAATCATTTTTACATCAGAACATTCTCTTGAAAGTGTCAAAAGAGCCCTGATCCCACGTTAAGTTAGTATTGCTTTAAAATCTCCTGTGAAAAATAAGTACTGTGTTAAAATCACAAGGCATGAGACAAACATTCATTCACTTGCAAAGAGCTAAAAAAATGTCAATAGAAGGACTTTTGCAGAAAAAGGATAACCATCGTAACAACTTGAAAAAAGATGAAAAATCACTACAAGGGAAAAAAAAAAAACAAAAGAAAAGCAGCCTTACAACGACAGAACATATATATATTACAACAAAAGCTTGATGAATCAAAAGGTTATATTCTCCAGCATAATGATGATCAAATAGGATCTTTCACTAGGTGTTCGCTCCATTCAGGTGAGAGGCAGTATCACTTTTGTAATGACCCAAACAAAAATAAAATAAATAAAATAATAATATTAAAACTGATGATGAAGCATTTTCATTTTGTACTTTTTATATTTTGGACTATGCACAACAAGGTGAATTTGTGCCTTAAGGGAAGTTGCTGGCATAACCAAAAAAATAAAAAAATAAATAAAAAAATAAAATATTTTTATTGTATTTTAATTAAATTTGGAGTGTGTATTACAAGAAGAAATTGTGGTTTAGAGAAAATTTTTCCCTAACTCATGCTAGGCCCGAGATGCAAAGAGTGGGAAGAGTGAAGTATTTCTTTATTTTGTTGCAGACCTTGTAAAATTTCCTTTTCATCCTTGAAGGCAATAAGATATTTTCTCTTTCCCTGAGCCTTTTGTTTGAGAGTTGTAGACGGTAAACTCACCAACCTCCCTCGCCTTCGTCTTTTCCCCTCTCTCTCTGCTTTCAACCATCTCCGGCGTGGGTGTTTGTGCCGGAGCTCCGTCCGCCGCTGCTAGAGGTCGGAATCGTAAGTTTTCTTCACCTACCGTTGCTTAGCCGTTCGTATGCGTCACCTGTCCTTCACCTTCTCCTCATCATGATTCGCGTAGACAGCATCTTCTTCTTTCTCCCTCCAATAACATTGTTGATCTTAGGTGAGAATCTTCGAGTCCTTTACTTCCTTGCTGGATCTCATTGTGTGTGTGTGTGAATGGATTATTGTGAAATTAATCCTCCTTCTTTATTCCAGTGCGCTGCGTGAATGCGAGAGTGATTGAGGTCTAAGAAAACTAAATTTAAGTCTAAAGAACACGTTTTTGATGTTGATTATTTGGTTACTAAAGGAGGAAGAGGATGGATCTAGAGTTAATTCCTTTGAACTTGAATGTATTTTAATTGAAGGAATGAAATTTAATAAGATTGCTCAATTCAAAAAGTTATAATGAAAATTGTTGGGATGAGATTTGAAGAGATGACCTTAGAACTAAAATTTGCAGATTTATGCTTGCCAGTTGTTTCATAAAATGTTTGTTAGGAGACCTTTTGTTTGATTCTGTATTTTTTTTTTGGGAAATCGTGTTGAATCTTATGAGAGAATCATATCTAAATGGAGTAAGTATTTATGGCTAAAATAATTTAGAGAAACCATGGGATATAAAGTTTTGTGAATTAGGGGACTTTGAATTATTTATTTTGGTTTTGATTATATTAATGTTGGAATGAAATTTACCATTATTAGATTTTCACAATAATGATGGTCTGGGAGATTGGCTCGTTACATTACATGCATAAATGACAAGAGGTACATGGATTGATGACAATCCAAGCTTAGTAGTCATATACGTCTCAAAAGCCTTTCTCCAATTCCACTTAGCTGACAGTGTTGTGTTCTGTTTACTTGGTAACATTGATAATTGCTTTTTACTTATCACAAAATTGTCCCTAAGGGATAATAACCCTGCCAATATGACCACCTACTCAATTATATTTCCTCATATACCTTACCATTGGGACGAATCAATCATTTGCCATCAAGTATTTTATATATAAATATATATTTGTTTTTCTTTGGTTGTTCCCCAATTTGTTGTTATGATCTATTTTTCAATTTGTTTTTTTTTTTCATTATCGCTGTTTATTATTTGCAGATTAATCATTACTCAAAGGACATTAGTAACTTCCGGCTGATCATTATTTTGTTGCAGCATTTAGAAAATCCTTACTGTCCACACATGGATTGTAGCCTCATATACACGCGTGTGTGTGTGTGTAGAAGATTTAGACAAAGATCAACTTTATCTCCGAACAAGATAGTCATGAATATTAAGTTTCCACTTCTCACCGGCTATCCAATTTTTACTTATGAAAAAAATCTATTCCAGTATAACTGTCAAATTTTTCGTTAGTTCATTTTCTGATGTAAAATTCTACTGATTAAAGAGTAAATAGTTCATGGCTTCATGCAAAACCAGGTAACATGTGAACTGTAAAGACAAATCTGCCGTCTTGTTTACCACTTTCATGCGTCATAGCCTTCCACTTATGCATGCTCATGCTAAGCATATAGAAATTGGTGCCCACTTTGTTCATGATTGTGATCTTGCTAAAACTATCACCATTCATTGTGTTCCTTAGGAAGATCAACTGGCTGATAGTTTGACTAAATATTTGGTCTCTTCTTGATTTCTCTGGTTGCTAATTGAATTACCCCCTCGTTTGAGGGGAATGTTAATATTGAACGTTATCAAGGTGGAACCTTGTAAGTGTGTATGCGTGTGTACATTAAATCTCAACAACTAAACAAAATATGACAAATATTACAACAAGGGGTAACAACATTCATTTTTAATTAAGCTTGTTTTTATATTGACATGCAGTGGATTTATAACTTCAAAGTATGCAATGCATAGACAATTCTCAATAAAATCAGATGTCTTTAGTTTTGGTGTGCTAATCTTAGAGATTATAAGTGGGAAGAAAAACAATAACATCCATGGTCTGCTAGACTTTGTTAGTATTTGCTCTTTTGAAATATATAAATTGGAAAATTGTGAACCTGAATTAACTTAGTATTTTTTGATGATCGCATATTCTTGCAGGCATGGCAAAACTGGAGGGAAGGGAGTGGTTCAAATACAGTTGATCCTCAGTTAAAGAATGGTTCAAGAAATGAGATAATGAGATGCATTCACGTTGGATTGCAATGCATGTTCAGGAAAATGTGGCTAATAGGCCAACCATGGCTTCAGTTGCAGTAATTCTGAGCAGCCACTCTGTCTGTACCACTCCCATCGAAACCTCCATTAAGCTTAACAAATAAAGGAGGAAGCAACTCTGTTCAAGCGTCAAGAAATGAGGTCTCAATTACAGAGCTATATCCTCGCTAAATCCATCCTTTGAAGGTGACTTTCAATGCAACAGTTTTAATCTACAGATTACTCTACCAAAGAAGAACGAATGAGCTTGCAGTTCACTTAGGAAAAAAACAAATAAAAGTAGTCATTTTTGTTGTTGATATTTAGCATGATTTCAGTTTGCGTGTAAGCTTATATATTGGGCATGGGTTTGTGCAAGCATACTGTCAAGCATAGTTGTTAAATTCACGAGTCATTTTGACTTTATAAAATTGCGTCAATTCACTTATAAATTTAAATTAAATATAAATTTGATTAAACTCACGAGTTTACCTTTGAGTTTATCATTTTTATGTTTTTAATTTATAAAATTATGTCCACTCATTTACATACTCAGACTAGATGCAAGCATGTTAAAGTTGTTAAATTTGTTAATTTTTTTTTAAATTGAGCAAGTTAAGTGTATATTATGAAAAAATTTAATTCATAAAATTTATAGAATCTAGTTCAAAGAAAAAGAAATTTAAAAAGCAAAAACTAATATTAATAAAAAAAGCCAAAAATAAGTTTTCTTATTTTAAAATTTATATGTTTGTATGATAATTTATCAATATAGATGTGTTTCATTTTAATAATTTATATTTTAAATATATTTAAATCAAATTATGGTTACATTTTGTATTTTAATTATTTAATAATAATTTTTTATGATCATTTATTAATAGAGATAAATTATTATGAGTTTACTATTTAAGTTTGCGATTTGAGTTTATATTTTTGTCATGAGTTTATTTAAATTTACAAGTTTAACAATCTTGCCGTCAAGATATGAGGTTGTCTTAATTATTAAGCTTTATATGTCCTCGTTAAATTTAGCTTGGGATGTGATGTCACAAACATTATTCAACAACAAGAAGCTTTTATCCCACTAGGTTGGGGTTGGCTATATGAATTGCAAGACGTCATTATGTTCTATCATTTGTCAAGCTTTTAAGAATATTATTAATTAAGAGATTGCATTCAACAACTTTCAAGAGTGTTCTCTTAAATCTTTCTCTACCCCTCATAACAGGGCTCAAAGTTATGTGTTCCACTCTTCTCATTGGTGTCTCTCGCGATCTTTTTTGTACATGCCCAAACTATCTCAAACGGTTTTCTACCATTTTTTCTCAATAGGTGCTACCTTCACTTTTTTGCGTATGTGCTCATTTCAAATTTTATCTTTATGTGTTTGTCCGCACATTCATCGTAACATTCTCATCTCTGCTATTCCAACTTTATGTTTTTGCTGTCCCGTTAGAGCCTAGCATTCACCACTATATAACATAGCCGGTCTGATAGTAGTATGATAAAACTTTTCTTTAAGTTTATTAGGCACCCTAGGGTCGCAAATAACTCCTTTAACTTTTCTCCAATTAAACCACCCAGCTTGAATCTTATGTGAAATATCTCCACTGATTTCGCCATCATTTTAAATAATGGCTTCCAAATATCTAAACTTTTTCACTTGAAGTATAATTTGATCTTCCAATTTTACTTTCAAATTACTGTCGACTAGTCTCTTACCAAATTTACAATATAAATATTCCGTCTTACTCCTACTCAGACGGAAATCTTTCAACTCCAATGTCCACCTCCATAACTCAAGTTTACAATTAATCTCTTCTCTTATCTCTGCTATAAGAACTATATCATCCGCGAAGAGCATACATTTGAGAATTTTTCCTTGAATATGTTCCATCAAAACATTTAGGATCAAGTTAAATAGATAAGGACTTAAAGATAATCCCTGATGTAGTTCAATTTTTATAGGAAAGTCCTTTGTTTAACTACTAGATATTCTTATACTAGTTTTTACCCCCTCATACATATCTTGTATGACTTTAATATAAGCAATCCGTACTTCCTTCTTTTTCAAGGCTTTCTAAAGTACTTCTCTTGGTATACGGTCATAAGTTTTTTCCAAATCAATAAAAATCATGTTTAAATCTTTATCTTTACAACGATACTTTTCCATTAATCCCTTAGCAGATAAATCACCTCTGTAGTCGATCTACCTGGCATAAAACCAAATTGATTCTCAGAAATACTTGTCTCCAATCTTAACCTATGCTCAATACTTTCTCCCACAATTTCATTTTATGGCTCATGAGTTTAATCTCTCTATAATTAGTATAATTCTAAATATCCCCTTTATTTTTATAAATAAGAATTAATGTACTTCTCCTCCACTCGTCAAGCATTTTCGTAGACCGTAAAATTACATTAAATAACTTAGTTAACCATCTCACTCCTTCTTCACCTAAATATTTCCACACTTCAATAGATATACAATCAGATCAGTTGGCTCTACCATTTGCCATTTTCTTAAGAGCTTCTTTTACCTCCTTATCACATATTATTCGATAGAATGACAAATTTTATTCTCTTCATGGGTTATTAAATCCTCCAAGTTACTAGATGAACCCTCTTCGTCATTGAAAAGTTTAGAAAAGTAAGTCTCCCATCTATTTTTAATTTCATCATCTGTAACTAAAATTCTTCTTCTTCATCCTTTATACACCTTACCTGTTCTAGATCTCTTGATTTTCTTTCTCTACTCTTAGCAATCTTATAAATGTTTTGTTCTCCTTTCTTCGTCTCAAGACTCTTATAAAATTCTTCAAAAGCTTTAGAACGAGATTACTCACAGCTCTCTTAGTTTCCTTCTTAGCCATGTGGTACCTCTCTCAATTTTTCTCATTATTACACAAATGTATGGCTTTAAAATAGTTCTTCTATGTTTGATTTTGTCCTACACATTATTATTCCACCACCAAGATCCCTTATTTGTCAAACCAGAACCTTTTTGATTCCCTCAAAACTACTTTTGCAACCTCCCTTATCTTTTTAGCCATATCCTCCCAAATGATGTTAGCACTTTCCTGAGATTCTCAAATTCCTTTGTCTAAAAGATTCCACTTGAAAATATCTTGCTTCTCACCTTTTAATTGCCACCACTTAATCCTTGGTGCTACTACTTGTCGACGTTTTTAAATTTTACTCATAATACACACATCAAGGACAAGGACCCTATGTTATGTCGTTACAGCATCCCCAGGAATCACTTTGTAATTTTTATAGAGTCTTCTATTTGTGTTCCTAACCAAAAGAAAATCAATCTGTAACCTTAAGGCTCCACTTTTGTAAGTGATGAGATGCTCATATCTTTTCTTGAAACAAGTGTTGGCAATTTTAAAATCATGCGCTAACAAGAAATCAAAAAGAGTTTGTCCTTTATTGTTTAGCTCTCCAAAACCAAAACCACCATGCACCCTCGCATACTGATCAGCCTCCCTCCTGACATGTCCATTAAGATCTCCTTTAATAAAAATCTTTTCACTTTGTGGTATGTGTTGAATCAACTCCTTTAGATCCTCCTAAAATAATTCTTAAGACTGGCTTCTGTCCTAACTTGAAGAGCATAAGCGCTAACAATATTAATAGTCTCACGTCCAACTACCATTTTTAAGGAAATAATTCTGTCTCCAATTCTGCTAACTTCTACAATGTTCTTCTTTCACTCCTTATCAATAATGATGCCTACTTCATTTCATGTGCTTACTTTTTTTGTATACTAAAGTTTGAAATCTTGAATATCCTTAGCTTCTTCTCCATGCCATTTTATTTCTTGCAGGCATAGGATGTTGATTTTCCTTTGAATCATAACCCCTACAATCTCTACAGATTTACAATTCAATGTTCTAACATTTCAAGTATCAAATCTAATCTTGCTCTCATAGACTAACCTCTTTAGTCACACATGTCCAGAATGACGCGGTAGTCCTTACTCATTTAACACTACATCCGGGCTCCGATGCAGTGGCTTTAACTCACTTATCACTGTACTCGAGCCATGCAGTGTGTTACTTACGAGCAATGACCTAGCATTAACATTATAACATCTATTGTCCATGTTCATAATAGATTCAACAAAATTTTACATTGGCTGTTGAAGACCTAATGCAACCCTCCTCTATTACCCAGGCTTGGGACTGGCTATAAATATAGGTGGAGTTTAAATATTTTTAATCTACAAATCACTCTACCGAAAAAAAGAAAGAAAGCAATCAAGTTTACAGTTTACCTAGAAATAAGAAGACTAACCATATTAAATCTATTAAATATCATTAAATGAGATTCAATTATAATTAATTTATTATTTTCAATTGGTTATAACTTTCTATTCGGTTTAGATTGATGGATCATATTCATTATAATTATTACAAGATTGATTTGGTATTTATTAGCATATTTCATTCTGTTCTACATATAATCCCACATATGGTGAATAAATAACACTATTACAAAATAAGTTTACAGAAGCACTTTTTTTGACCTTAAAGAGCGCTTCAAAAGCGCTCCCGTATCGAGTGCTTCGAAATGTACAGGAGCACTTTTCTTAAGTGCTCCTATATGTACGTTATACAGAAGCGCTTTTCGAAAAGCGCTCCTATAAGAGAGCTCTCGTATATAAGGGCACACATCACACACGGGAGCGCTCTCTACAAGAGCGCTCCCGTATGCCACCATATTGGAGCGCTTTTTATAAGATCGCTCCTGTATGCTTCCACCATACCGGAGCGCTCTATAGAAGAGCACTCCTGTATATGGGAGACCGCTCTTAATCAGAGCGCTCCCGTATGTTACTTTATAGGAGCGCTCTTCAAATGAGCACTCCCGTATATTACTTTTATTTTTTTAAATCATATTTTTTGAAATTTCTCCTTTTACGTCTATTTAACAATGGCAAATCATAATATCAAAAATTAATTTAAAAATAATATCAACATAAAAATTTATATACAAGAAAAGAATTTGAAACTGATACAACAATTTCAATTTCCTAACTAACCTAGTTTAATTTCTAACAAGCCTAACAAATGAAACTATTGTTAATTTTCTAATATTGAAATCTAACTTCCTATTACAAACAGTCAATAATATATTCTGACCATTCTTCAACTAAATCTTTTATTTGCTCAATAGTAAAATGCAAATATCTTGCTCTAACAAAATACTACACAAGATATGAAAGCAATATATAAGTAATTAACATTATATTAACTTAATTTCAAAGCTTTTGACTTACATTTTCAGGAATGATCAACTCTTGTTGTGTGATTACTTCCCTCATAAACTTAATAACATAGTATCCACACTCCCAACCTTGTAATTGTGTAGGTACCTATAAAACAATAAAAGATGTCATTATCAAAATATGATAGAAATA